AAAAGCAGTAACAAGATAGGTAACCCATATCTCAATTTTCTAAGATATACGATGTAGACTCTGTTGCTATTATTGAGTTGATTCGCTTGCTTTATTTCGATCTAATTTTCAAATACATTTGTTTGTCTCAATCATTTTCTTTTCCAAATAATGCAGTGATCCTTGCTTTGGCTTTAAGTTCTAATTTCTTTTTATTAGATGTTTATTGATAGTCGTTATCTATTTTGGCCCCCTGTGTAAATCAGTTTTCTATTTCCTAACTCCTATTCTGTTAAGAGATTAGAGATTAAATCTGAGTATTTGAGTCTCTATACTCCAGATCCTAAGGTGCTGAGGTTTTGCTGAAATTACATTAATGTTATCTCTTTAAAAAGTTATTTATTTGAACTCCCTCTATAATAAATCTACAAAAACTACTCTATGCTTTTAGATAAACATCAAAGCCTAAACATATGCACTGTGTCACCTGGAAAGCAGGTACAGAAATATTATGAAAACAATTTTTGAAATTGTATTTGATATGTCAAAACAAACCATTTAAATCATCATCAGAGGAAAAAAAATTGCATCTCAACTTTTCCCCATGTCGTGGATGTGTGTGTGTGTGTGTGTGTTTTGAACTTATATTTATGTTCGGGGGTGGGTAGGGTATAACAGAATTCTAGAGCTTTGGAAGTGAACTCTTTTTCTGCTCTGAAACCATTAAAAGCAATACACAAGGTAAAGTCCCAGCTGCAGATTCAAAGGATTTTTTGGTCTTTCTGAAAACTCCCTTATTCCCGCTTTGCCTCTGTGTTATGGTTGGCATGATTCTAGTATACGATCTCTAGAGTACAACCAGCCAGTAGGGTAAGAGGCATATTTATAGTCCTGACCTGGTAGCATCAACTAGTCTCTTGGTTTACATTGTTTTTATAATTTCTGTAAATCTAGAAGTATTATTCATTAGTTAATCAAATTTGTATGTACAATAGCTTGTCCAATCACTAGAAAGAAGAGTGGTGAAATTAATTTTGGTCTGGATTTGAGGCCCAAAGAGTGTATCAGATTGGCTACTTACCTTGCATTTTTGACTGGCATTCTAATGGGTGAAAATAAAAGACATCAGGTAGTTCAAAGTATATACATTAACCAAAGAGCAGGATGGTCCAGGTGAACAAGACATTTCTGTCCATTGTCTTTTGCTAAGTTAACTTCTGCAGAACTTTCACTGATTAAGAACAGGAGTGTTTCTCCTTGTTTACCAAATCAATCTTACTAAGGCAGATGCAGGGTATGTATTCTGTCATGGTCATTGTAAATAACAAATGCTAAAGTGTGAGTGTGAAGGGATAGATGTGATCGACGTAACACACAATCCCTGGGCTTCTTCCCCATGTTCTACAGCTCTAGTCAATCAGCTATGTATGGGGATACAATGATTGAATAAGGTAAAACCATTTTCTATCAAAGAACTTTATTTATAAAACTAATTGATATGTGCATATAAATGTATATATGCATATATGTGTCTTATCTGCTACTGATCATAAAATAAATGTCCCCCACGTATAATGTAGGGGTGGAACGTGGGGAAGGCAATATAACACAGAGAAGACAAGTAGTGACTCTATAGCATCTTACTACGCTGATGGACAGTGACTGTAATGGGGTATGTGGTGGGGACTTGATAAAGGGGGGAGTCTAGCAACCATAATGTTGCTCATGTAATTGTACATTACTGATAGCAAAATAAATAAATAAATAAATAAATAAAATGTCTGCATAGAAGTATCTACTGCAATTTGGAATCTTAATACTATATTTAGATAAACTAATATTATATACTTTTACATATATACAAGTATATAATAATTTATCCTAAAACTTACTGGCTTAAAACAGTAAACATTTATTATATTATTAAAAAAATAACAGGAAAATAGAAATGTGAGGTAATAGTAAAATGAGATAATAAAAATTAACACTTAAGCAGGTGGTCCTGGTATTAGGTCTTTTCTGAGGTTGCAGTCAACATGTTTGTTTTTTCTTGTGAGAACATTTAGTTTCTATTCTCTTAGCAAACTTCAATTAGACAATGCAGTCTTACCAACTATAATCACCATGTTACACATTGGATCTTCAGACCTTATCTATTATATAATTACATTTTATACCCTTTTACCAATCTTTCCCTATTTCCCCCACCTTCCAGCCCTGGCGACAACTTTTCTACTGTTTCTATGAGTCTGACTTTTTTAAAATTAAGGTATCATTGATATACAATCTTATGAAGGATTCACATGAACAACATTGTGGTTACTACAGTCACCCATACTATCAAGAGCCTCCACATACACCCCATGGCAGTCACTGCCTATCAGCGTAGTAAGATGCCACAGAGTCACTACTTGTCTGACATTTTAAAAAATGATTCCATGTATAAGTGATATTATACAGCATTTGTTTTTCTCTGTCCAACTTATTTCACTTAGCCTAATGCCTTCCAGGTTACTTATATATATGTCACACATATATGCCACATTTTCTTTATCTGTTTATTTGCTGATGAACATTTAGGTTGTTTTCACTCCTTGGCTATTGTGAGTAATGCTGCCATGAACACGGGAGGGCAGATATCTCTTGAGATAATGCTTTTGTTTTTTTCTGATATATGCCTGGAAGTGGGATTGCTGGATCATAAGGTAGCCTGTCTGTCCATACTTTCTTCCTTTTTCCCTTCCTTTATTTTCTTTCTTTCTATTTAATTTTTATTATAGGAATTCCTGACCAGTCAAATTTGGAATATACTTGCTTTTAATACCCATTAGATTCTCTTTCCTATCGGCAAAATGCAATGGCTATTAGAAACCAAGATCGACTAGGTTGATTAGAGGCAGAAAGAAATGTAAAGAGCTTTGGTCTCAGAGTCAAAACCCTCTGGATTTTAGCCATACCTCTGGACTTTTAACAAATTGTGTGACCTGGGGATTAAATCTCTCTGTGACTCATCTTTATATAAACATGGTACAAGGGTTGCAGCCCAAGGATTCTGTTGCCGCCATGAATGTATTATTATTTACACTTTTGATAAGCTGTTGATGATATTACTAACACCCAAAGAATTGACACATATCAGAGTAAAACAGGGGACATAAATCAAATCACATTTTTGCTGGTGAGAATATTGAGGCTAAAGTTCAGAAGGAATCTCTATTAGTTAAGGCTTATTTATGTAGAAAGGGAGGATTTATTGACTTTTCTTCAGCTCTATTTTATTTTCTTGAGGAACTTCCGTATTGTGTTCCATAGTGACTGAATCAGTTTAAATTCCCACCAACAGTGCACAAGAGTTCCCTTTGTTCCACATTCTTACCAGTATTTGTTATCACTTGTCTTTTTGGTAGCCGACATCTAAGCAGATATGAAGTGATATCTCATTGTAGTTTTGGTTTGCATTTCCCTTATGATCGGTGATTTTGAGCGCCCTGTTGCGTACCTGTTGGCCATTATGTATCTTCCGTGGATATTGTCTATTTAGGTCCTTTGCCCATTTTTTTCATTGGGTTATTTTTTCTATTGTGTTTTATAAATTATTTGTACATTTTGGATATTAACTCCTTATCAGATATGTGTATTATACAATATTTATTCCCATTCCTTAGGTTGTCTTTTCACTTTATTGATGTTTTTCTTTGCTGCTCAGAAGGAGATGTTTGCCCTTTAGTTGCTGGTTGTAAAAGTTCATTATGTGTTCTGGATACTAGTTGCTTATCAGATATAATTTGTAAGTCTTTTCCTACTCTCTAAGTTGTATTTATACTTTCATGAATAGTGTGCTTTGATGCACCCCAAATTTAAATTTGATTAAGTCCAATTTATCTATTTTTCATTTGTTCCTTATATTTTGGGATCATAGCTAAGAAACCATGATCAAATATAAAGTTAAAAATTTACCTCTGTGTTTTCTTCCAATAGTTGTATTGTTTCACTTCATACATTTAGATCTTTATTTTATTCTAATTTTTACATGTGACATGAGGTAGGGGTTCAGGTTCATTGTTTTATATGCGGATATCTGGTTGTTCCAGCATCAGCCCTTGGAAAGACTATTTCTTGTCATCCTTGTCAAAATCAATTGACCATAGATGTGTAGGTTTATTTCTGCCCTCCTGACTCTATTCCTTAGATTTATGCTTTTCTCCTTATGTCAGTCTCACACTGTTTTGCTTACTGCAGCTTTGCAGTATGTTCAATAATTGGGAGATATAAGAACTCTAATTTGTTCTTCTTCAGGATTGTTTTGGCTATTTGGGGCCCCACGTGATTCCCTATTACAAGGATTATAATTAATCTAACAATTAACTCCTTCCATTTCTGCAAAAAACACAGCTGGAATTTTGATAGGGATTACATGTTATCTCTAGATCAATTTTGTAGCATTGTCATCAACAAGTCCTACCAGTTCTCATTATCTAACCAATTAATTCTTTGAATCCATAAATAAATGACTTCTTACTTATTTACAATTTCCCATAAATTCTTTCAACACATTTTGTGGTGTTCAACATAAAAGTCTTGCATTTCCTTGATGAAATTTCCCTTCTCTTCCATTTACATATTCATTTATTTATTTATGTAACCAAATTCATAGAGTCTTATTTAATTCCTTACACTCCTTGTAATTGATAATTATTCTGATGCTCAGACATTTCCTTATTTGGCATATGAGAGCCCCTTTAAACTGGTTTCTGTAATTTTTTGGTATGTTTTTGTAATTTTTGAGGACTTCCTTAATTATTGAAACAAGATATTGCACAGTCAGCTTCTTTCCCCTAGCAGAGTCTCACAATAACCTTCATCCAAGAACACCAGCATGTTTTAGTAGATATGTAATTGGAAAACTAAGATCTGTAGAAATATATAACATCTTAAAATATATAACTTACTATTTTTACTTTGGGAAATCAAATGGTAAATACAGATCACTGATCACTCTCTTTCCATTTTTTTTTTTTTAGTTCCTCCAGTCATCCGGGTGTACCCAGAGAGTCAGGCCAGGGAACCTGGGGTAACTGCAAGCCTGAGGTGCCACGCAGAGGGCATACCAAACCCTCAGCTTGGCTGGCTGAAGAATGGAATTGATATTACGCCAAAGCTATCTAAACAACTCACGCTTCAAGGTGCTTTTTACTTACAATTTTTTCTCTTAAATGACCATGACATAATTTTATACTAAAATTTTTAATACGTTTTACCTTATTTGGAAAAAAACTTTAAAAATGAGCCTTTTTGGCAATACAATGTCATGAATCTGAAAAAAAATGTAGTTGTACCTAAGCCATTATATCTGAAATAGTCTTTTAAGATTTTTAATGTTCTAAATAATAGTCTGGTCATAATGATTAATTAGGTCATTATTTTGAAAATAAGTAAAATATTAAAGTATGTGTCTTTTAAATACTTGTCCCATGAATTATAGATCAGCATAAGTTGGTCTCTTCATAGATTGTATTTCTGATATGACCATTTAAATGTTTAAATCTCACATTAAATTATGTATTACAAAGGGAGTTAATACAGAAATTCTTTAGTGAATGTTTTGCAGCATGTTTTACAAATGAAGAGAGGGAAAAACAAAATGTTACTAAATATATTTAACACTTATCTTGTTTTAAAGTCATAAAGTTATTATATTCTAATTTTTAAAATATTCTACATTTTCTAATAATCTAATGTGTAGATATCATTAATCTATTATTTTACAGATCATAATCATCATAAATATGTGGTAAGTAAAAAACCAGGACAACTGGTATAATAATAAATAATAATGCAAAAGCAGTCTTATATATGTTTATAATACTAGTGAGTTAAAAAATGTACAAATCTTATTTCCATTGTCAAGTATAATAGCACATGACAAATAATCTTACTGGAGTATCTGTCACATGGCATTATATTCCCTCAATTCATGCTGCTAGAAATGAATATATTTGCATGTTTTGATTATTTCTATAAATGTAGAAGTCACTATACTAAAGTGAATGTTTTTTCAGGATGCATTTTTAAATCAATCTTTTGAACCTTTTTTTTTAAATATTTATTTTTGCAAGTCAAAAATGACATATGAAAGTATTTTTGACCTTTAAAATCTGAATCCTGGAAATCTTTATGTTTAATATAAGTAGACCCAACAAATTTACATCTTTACATTTACTGATTGCATCTTGGTGTCTATAATCTAAGAAGAAGGTTGCTCTGAATAACAGAAATTAAAGTGAAGAAAGGTCTAATTAATTAGCTTCTGATTTTATCATCTATTAGCCATTTAATAATAGCAGTAAACCATCTTAATATGACTATTTTATATCTTTGAATTCAGGAATACACAGGAGAGCAAATGTGGGGAGCTGATTCCACTGCACATTCAACATTGAAGGGGGGGGCCTGTTAATTAGCTATTGTCATTTTTGAAAATAAAGTTTTGAGAGCATATGACAAATAATAAAAGCTGAAAAGGGAGCACCACTTAAGAGATGTCTGGGTGCATAGGAGTGCGATATTCCATGTTGTTTTATATATGATCACATTACCAAATACTGTAGTTATTAATTATCCATTTATTCATCAGGTGCTTATTTAATGGTTCTACATGAGGTCCAATTCTAAGCCCTAACTAAATACTTTGTGAATGGGTGAGATAATATATGGAGAGGAAGTAAAATCCGAGAAAAGCAGAAAAATTTTACTAACAGGCAAATAAAGATAACACAAGGAAACAAAAACAGCTAAGAGGCAGGGGAACAAGGTGTTATCACAGAAGAAAAGAGCTAAAGACAGGAAAGATTTCAACATTATCAGATGCATAGAGATTGCATCTTAGCTGATTAGTTTGCCATTGGGACATTTAGGAAAACTTAGTAACAATCAGTCTTCAGTGGGTTCATAAGTGACAAGGAGACAAAAAATATAAAAATCTCTTTCCAAATTCTGAGAAGAAGAAAAAGAACAGTTAGTATCTGCTGGTGGGAAAGGTTAGGGCTAAAGGTTAGGACTAATGAAGGTATTTCTTTCTTCTCGGTTAATTCATCAATTTGAGGGAATTTTGGTAAAGAGAAAGATATAGAGATAACAGAGGAAAGGTGATCAAACAGTTCTAGAAATCAACCAGAAAAGAGGGGAGATTTTTCTTGTGGAAAAAACAAAGAAAATTTCCTTTGAGAAGTAAATAAATGTAAAGATGTAAATGTAAACAGGTCATTTTGAGTTTATGTTTTTTTTTCAGGCTTTTATTGAAATATAATTGACATAGAACATTCTGTAAAATTGAGTTATACACCGTAAGAATTGAGGCATGTATATATATTACAAAATGATTTGTGTATACTTTCTAATTACATCTATGTATTTCATGATTTAAAGTACAAGGTCACTTTTCCAGAGTGAGAAGTTAGCATTATGATGGAAAAAATCAAATAAAGAGGAAGGATTTGAAGTAAAAGTGGAATGGTATATGAAAGGCATCATTTGTAAAGGTCAAATGAAATGAAATCAAGTAGTTTTGAACATCCTGCAAACTGAAAACTGGGAATTTAAAATTTAAAATTTGCCTTTGCAATAGTCTCATCATGTACTCAAAAAACTAGGTGCAGGGACACCAGGTGCAAGATATGTCAGCTTGTTCTTGCACTGGAGTTAGTGAGACATGTGTCAGGTTGATGAATGGCTGAGGGAATTGGTATTTCTCCAGAAGACATCTAGAAATGCTAGATTATGTAGGGAAGGAGGGAAACAGTGAGACATACAGGTAGGAGAACGCACAGGACTATTGAGGTGAGAGAATTTGAGGAGGGACTAAATTGACTTCACATTTCAAAAAATCTAGGGAATTTAGGTTGTTAAATATGTGAATCTTGAAAGAAAAGTATGTTCTTTGTAGATGGCCACATTTCATGTAAACCAAGAAGCTGAGACAAGTTTACAAACATTGCTCACTCCACTCTTACAGTAAGGGTCTGTGAACTAAGGCCCCTACACCAAGTCTGGAAAGCTGCTTATTTTAGTAAATAAGGCCATTTTTTTTGCTTGTTTTTTGTTTTGGTTTTTAGAATAAAGCCACACTCATTTTTAAAAATAGGGTCTATGGCTGCTTTCATGCTGCCATGTCGGAGGTGAGTAGTTGCTGTAGAGACTGGATCGCCCACTCTCTGGCCTTAATACCAAAGCTAAAACAAAACAAAAAAACATTGCCAACCTTTGTGTTGGAGTAGCGATTCTCCTAAGGATCAGGGCAATGGAGGTGCGTAGTGACCATTGTAAACGCAGAAAGAGGTTCTAGCGATTTGAGCGGTTTTTACTTCCTGGGCACTCGCTGCCTCTCCACATCCACATCCCAGCCGCGTCCCTTAAGAGACAGCTCCTAGGGGTGACATTCAAGTTCTTTCCCACTGGTTTTCGACTTTTTTTCCCAAATAGCCACACTGATGAGTCTGTCCCCTATTTGTCACAAATAGTCATGTTGTATGTGGTTCATGGTCTTCTGGTGGGTGGATGACATGGGACATGCGCACACAGACACATGCAGAAAGAAAGGAAAGAAAAGAAAAGGAGAAACCTAAGTAAATGAGCCCAGCAAACACTGAAACACGGAACTTCAGGGTCTAATAGGAGTCCAGCCATTATCCTTTGAGATGAGAGACTGGCATAGGTCATTCAATGAGTCTCAGATTCTTCATCTCAGGGATATTAAGTATTATTTGGAACAACAAAGGAGTAGTATATGTGAAATCATTATTCAAGGATTAGCTCAAGATATCATTTTACCAAGATTTAAAAGTTGGACTAATCATTTACTTAATCCTTTGTTTAAACACTGACTATATAAATGCCCATATTACAGTATTGCTTATTGTAGATATATCTTTTTCATTATTACTTTTCTGTTCTACTTACCTAACAATTCCAGATATATAATATAAACTCAATGATGTATTTGATATGTGACAATCTTATTACATTTGCATGATGTAACTTACTTAATTTCTCTAGGAAAATGTCTTTTTATATGCATTGTTCTGTAAATTAACCATACTGGTATTATTTAAAACTTTGGTAAAGCTTAGGACAAAGTGGATTCTGATTATTGAAAATAAACATGTGAATGAAATTATAGTCATTAGTATGAAATACTTTTAAGCAATGTAAGAAATAGGAAATGAATATCATATGTAAAGTGAGTGCCTTTGATACAGAGCATCATGTTTTCTGTAATAGAATGACAGTGCAGTTTATGAAACACTTGAATGCTTTTGGAATAATTTGGCATGCCTCCAAAATATGGAAGTAAGAAGGAAAACAGTTTAATTAGGACAAGCTAAGAGAACTGTTTGTGTAATCAGAAAGCACTGTACCAAAACAGAAATTGTAGTTTACAAGTTGCATTTGCCTTCTGTTTTCAGCAAATGGCAGTGAGGTTCATATAAGCAACGTGCGCTATGAAGATACAGGAGCATACACTTGTATCGCAAAGAATGAAGCAGGAGTGGATGAAGACATCTCTTCTCTTTTTGTGGAAGATTCTGCTAGAAAGACCCGTATGTATTGAACGCATCACACACACACAGATACACAGACATACATTGTACTCAACTTTACAATTAAGCTTTTTAAAAAAAACAAAAGCACCAAAAAACACTGAAATGAACAATGCACTTTAAAAAAATTTCATATGTAGGAAAGATAGGAATTTTGAAATATTTAAAGTGGATTTAAGGATTAAAAAACAAGCTGGTGACAATTTTAACATAACACTAAAATGGTTTTATTTCTTTGTAAGTGTGCTTAAGATAATCAGATTCTGTCTTCCTGTTTGCTCATGCAAGAATTTAAATTCTTTGCAAAATCTCTCTCCCAAACAACTTGGGAAATTCCAGGTCCCAAAATAGAGCAAAGGGGCATCCTGTAGGCTTACTAAGTCAGTATCTTCCTTTTCTGCCAGCTGTATAGCTGTCAGTGTCCCAGGAGTAATAGAGTAGCTCTTCTTTGCAGCAGGCACGTGATCACTGCCACCCTGAGACACTCCCTGCCCGGCCCCACCACCACTCCATGAGTAATTCTCCATTTAGTGCCAGAACACCCTTCTTGGCGCTGTACATCTCCTGATTGTATCATGAAGTAATAAGGAAAATGTACCATTCTTTAAAAAAAAAAGATTATTTGGTGAAAGAGAGCTGCCTAGGGTGGGATGCTAAAGATGGATTATTGCTTAGAACTCAAAGTACTATTACAGCATTTATCAAGTGAGCTCTCTGTAGGAGAACCCGCAGACGCTTTCTTCCACTGGTCCACGCATGCCACGGTATGACTGTTTCAGGGTTGGGTGTGGATGTACTTGGAATGATTATTCTTGCTTCTTAGTCTGAACTATTAAACCCACTTAACCTCCTACTAATCTAAGTTTTCTCATGGTCTCTGATATTTTAAGGGCCCACTAGTTTGGCATTCCCATTTCTCTGAACCCAGTTTTGAACAAGGTTAAAGCATTGTCCCAGGAGCCTTCTTATGCCTTTTTAAATCAATGAGTGCATGTAGTTATGAGTGGATGCAGTGAAGAAGGAGGATCTTGTCCTGATCCTGACTACCGGTATATCTCTATCTGTATTTGGTCTGGCTAAAACAACCAGAATTACAAGCGAATTCTTAGGGTAGAAAAAAGAAAAAAAAGAAAGCTGGATTTAATGACCTGGGTAAGGTCCACTATAATGTATTTACTCCATTTCTTTTATGTATTTCTACTAAATACCAATTTGTAGTTCACGTTCTGTTAAATATTAATTTTAGTTGACAAGCAATTCGATACTTTAGTTTTCTTATCCTTCAGTGATGACGTTTGTGAGATATTACAATTTCAACTCTGTATTCTGATTTTCATCATGTCACTCGTATTTTTCAGTATAATTCCCTAATTACAACATTAAAACACCTAGCCACAGTTCCATCAACCAGTGAATCAATATCTACTAGAATGTACATTTGAAAAAAATTTTAGAGGAAGATTTAATGTGATTTTATTCATAATGATCCATACCAATGTTTTGAAATAATTATCAACAGATTCTGAAATCACATTTTTGCTCAATTTTACTTATCACCTTTAAGCTCTTAAAGGTCAAAAAACACGTGTAGAGTAATTTTTCACTGTTCTATGTTAATAGCATGCTGTTAAAATCTGAAGCAACATTTTGATAAGCTAGAGCAGTGCAGTCCTTACTACATCTACATTAATAGAATTTTCAGTGATCATATCATAAATAATGCAAGTTAAAAATTTGCAGCTTTTTTCTTAAGTCTGGATGTAAAATATTTGCTATCCATATATTTAAATTACATAACATTTTCAAGGATAAGAGGTAAAAACTACAGATTTTAAAAAATGAATTAATGTATCTATTTTGGTGAGTTCTACTCTCTTAATAAATTTCCAACTATACAGCACCATGCTGTTAACTATAGACATTGAGTTGTACAATAGAACGCCAGAACTTGTTTAGTAACTATAACTTTAAACTCATCAAACAACTTTCCATTTCCCTCCACACTATCAGCTGACAACTGGCATTCTGTTTTCTGTCTCTATGATTTTGACTCATTTAGAAATCTCATAGAAGTGCAATTATACATATTCAATGTAAAAAACTGAATTATTTCTCTCTCATATCGGGAACAAAACAGGGATGCCCACGCTCATCATTTTTATTGAACATATCATTGGAAGTCCTAGCCAGAGCAACTGGGAAAAAAAAAGAAATAAAAGGCAACTAAACCTGAAAGGAAGAAGTGAAATTGTCTATGTAGATGACATGATTTTATTATATATAGAGAATACTAAAGATGTTGGCAAAAACTGTTAGAATTAAACATATTCAGTAAAGTTGCAGTATATAAAATCTACATACAAAACTCAGTTGTGTCTCTGTTCATTAACAATAAATATTCAAAAGGTAACTTAAAAAATAATCCCATTTTTAATATCATCAAAAAGAATAAAAATACCTGGGAATAAATTTAATGAAGGAGGTGAGAGACCTGTACAATGAAAGCTATAGTACATTGATGAAAGAACTTGAAGAAAACACAAATAAATGGAAAGATATTCTGTGTTTATGGATTGGAAAACTTCATATTGTTGAAATGTCAATATTTTCCAAAGCAATCTATGATTCAATATTATTCCCATCAAAATCCCAATGGCATTTTTTATGGAAATTTTTTTAAAATCCTAAAATTTACATGGAACAACAAAAGATCCAGAATATCCAAAGCAATCTTGAAGGAGAAGAACAAAACTGGAGGCATCATACTTCCTGATTTCAAAATATATTGGAAAGTTATAGAAATTACAACAGTATAATACTGGCGTAAAGATAGATGTATAGACCAATGGGACGAATAGAGAGCCCAGAAATAAATTCACATGTATAGTAAACTGATCTTCAACAAGGGTGCCAGAATTCATATTTGAGAAAGGATAATCTTTTCAAAAAATGGTCCTGGGAAACTGAATATCCATATATGAAAGGATGAAACTGGGCCCTACCTTATACTATATACAAAAATCAACTCAAAATGCACTAAAGACTTAAGTGTAAGACCTGAAACTAAAGCTCATAAATCATGACATTGGTCTTGTCAATGAAACTAAGGAATTTGGTTGTAATATAGAAGTCTCAAGCATATTAATTCATATTTATATTCTATTCCTTTATAGGTATGCAAATAGAGTTTCTTTGGAATAATACATTTACCTCTTATTTAAAAATTCCTTAATCTTTGTTAAGTCCATTTTCCACAAATTTGCTACACTGGTTATTAAGAACATACCATATATACATATGTAGTTATTGATATGGAAGTGCCCATTTTAGAAATGTATGCATATAATTAAAATCAGGATAACACCAAATAAACAAATTGAGTAGAATATTTGTAGCTTCCAAAGAGAATAAACTGAAACTGTAAGAACGTCTTTGTGGTAGAAGACAGGTTCCTTGGGATGTTTCCTAGTACTCAGTACTCTGCCAGAATTCTGTATGCCAAAGACAAAAACAGAATCAGGTGGAGATCACATCAGGGAAAACCGCAGTAACCCACACTATTGTTTTGTGACCTACATCTTAAGGATTGCTCTGGGTTTCTCTTTGTAATTCCATGTACAAAGACTGATATTAATTATTTAGGGCGCATTTGTATTTTGACAGGGAGATGAGTTTCAAAAAGCAAAAGGAAACAGTCACAGACTCATCAATGATGACTTTATTCTTATTTACACATAGTAAAAAATTATTGACTAGTCCATGTTCACCAAAAATAATTTCAGAGGCCCTTTACTCGTTTTAGTAATGATGGAATACAAGGTATATCTAACAAATCATACTGGTATAATAGAAGAGCATGAACTTTGGAGTAATAGGTGAGTTAGAATCATTGTTCTACCACACACCAGTTCTGTGATTTGGGACTATTACATATCTTCTCTGATCTTTATTTTCCTTATCTGTAAAATGGAATAAATACTAACTTGTTAACAGATTTCTGTGCAGATATTATAAAGCACTCACTAGAGTGCTAGACATAAAGTAGTTCTCCCTCTGATTCATGCTTATTTTCCAAAAATAATTATTTATTCCTTGATGGAAACATTGACAAAAAGCATTAATAAAAATCCTTCAGAATCTAGTAATTGTTAGAAATAAGAGTTTCCAAAATGAATGAAATATATAGATAGGTATAGAGATCAATATAAATAAATAAATAGTTGTAGAAATATACATCCAAGTATAAAATACTTCTCTTCACATTAAAAAAATGGACTCTGCTGATTAGAACATACATTTCTTTTCTTTAATGTATCTAGTAAGATACTTTAAAGGACATTTTTTTTTGCCACTTTTGTCATAGTCAAAGCGAAAGCTACACCTTATTTTCCCTTTACACTGGTGAATTTATACTCCTATTACACTTTACAATTTCTTCTGTAATATGCTTTTCTTCTGCTTTCTTTTTGAAAGATGCAGAGAAGAGGTACTGAATTCCATGTAGGCAGCAGTAAAAGCGAGGGAAGATTTCCACCTTTTCAGCTAAATGACATAACACAGACTTCCTTTGCTTAGCTATGGCTTCAGACTAATCATCCAGCTATTTTCTACATAATAAAACAGTCATAACAGTATCAATCACATTTTTTTTGCATTGCTTTTCCCAGAGATGTGATACTGCTGAGTGAACGTTCACGCAAAGTATGGTATGACCAAAGAGTTTATCTTTTGCTTGTATTCTAATTTCTAATTGGAAAAACTTGAGTTAACAGCCCCCAACTTTGTCAACAAACCTCACTGGAAGTTTTTCTCATGTGACAAACTGAACTACAAAAAGTGCTTCAATGTAATATGCTTTATAATTACATTAGTGATAGGGCTTGATAGCTGATTTAGTGGAGTGATATGCAGGGAGGATTTAAGTGCAAAGAAGAATACAAATGGATTGTAAGGGATTGTGTAGTGCTTGGAACAGCGTAGGAAAAGATGATATGAAATAC